TGTTACCTGACGTGTGTGTAATTTGTCTTTGTAGAATCGTGTCCATCCGTTGCTGCCATTCGCTATCATGGGAATCAATGCTTTGCTTGCGGGTATACTTTGTATGAGTCTCCCGGAAACAAAACTTCAACCGACTCTTGAAACTGTGGATAAAGAACCTCCTGAAGAAGAACTGAGCCAAATGGTTGGAACAGCAAATGCTTGAACCTCTTATTTTCAGTGCCATATTTTTTTGTTTGTTATTGGAAAAGAAATATTACCGTGTGGAAGAACCACTAAATTCTGTTGTCAGTATTCCTGCAATGAAACTTTGCTTGTGTGTTTCGGCGAAGTTAATTTTCGTTGTGGTTACTGGCAGGTCCTACCCGGACTTGAATCTCGTCCGCTCATCTACTTCATAACAGTGTGCAGTACTGCTTTTAGTCTTGGCACTGCAGTGATGCAACCACTTTATCAACTTTTTACTCATCGCTTTGGCTACTGTTGTACCAGCAAATACCAGGACAACTATGCTTTAAATAATATAGCTTCATTTATCTACTTAATTATCGTTACTGTTTGCATTTGGCATGTAAAGTTTATACTAATGCAAATTTCTGACCTATTCCGTTCAGTGTAATTCAGCCATCAGTCCGCTAGAAGGAAGCAGTCAGATATTACATCTATGGCTAATACGATTAATCAAGTCGTTGTTGGTTGAGAAATGTACGCAAAAATGCTAATGACGTAAACTGCCGCCTTTAAGCACTTCCCTCAGTTATAGGAAACACCCACGGTAAAACAAAAATACATCCCATTATAAGCCCCCTCTAGCTTGTATTGAAATGAATTCTTTTTATCATGACCTTTTGACGCCTGATTAAAAACCAGTGAATGCAAAACGCACTGCTCTGTAGCTTGTTTCAAAGGGCTTTTTCTAGACCGGGTATAAGCGCCCGGCCTCCGATATAAGCCCCTTCGTTTATAAATCCTGCTAAAACCCCTTATAAAGATGAACAAGCCCAGGGCTTACTGGCGACAATTTCCGGTATTTTAGTTCGAGGTCCCAATCCCCCCTGTTCTGAAGCTGCGCGGTCGTTCCTTTCTCGACCGATGTCGCCAGCATGGTGCAGTAGCAAACACTGAATTACAGCTCGCAGTCATGTTTGACAGGTTCGACTTGAAACTAAGGAATGTCCTGATCTTCAAGCGAAACTCTATCCCTTTATCTAATAAAGCCAACTGAAGAGCTGACCATATTGTGAGTTCGTAAGGCAACGCAGTTGGCGACATGGTTGTGAAAACGCTTTGACTCATTTGCAATGTAGTTTATCACTGTCATACTTGCCGTTTAAAAAGTGGCTCTATCGGCCAGATACTCTAACTCCTTTGTCAAGACCTTGTTTAGTGGGCAGCCGCTTAACTTTAATACAGGGATGGTTGTTTCCTTTAAAGGAGCTAGGTGGGGATGCCAATCAGTAATGAACTGTACGGACCTGGCCTTGCACCATAAGCTACCCGCGAAGCGTCTGAGAAATGAAGGTTTTTTCTTGAAGCTCTCTCTGACACTAGACAGGCTTACCGCATCTTATGCATGGTTCAATTTGACCTGTAACCATTCCCCCTGGGCTTACCCCCGGGGATTTTTTTCTTTCTTGGAGGTCTGACCCCACCCCAGGGCACGCAGAAAGAGACAATTTCCCAACCCGAGCTCCTGATCGACCTCATAATTAAACGTTTTTTCGTATATCGTTTTGATCCGTACAAAAGCAAAACGAGACGTTTTCTCAACTTTTATAAGCGTTTTCTAGAGTTAATCGAGAGAAGGATAACGGACGTCATAATGTAGTTAAAACATGAGAATTGCATTTGAAAATGAAAACGAAGACGAAAACTCTTAAAAAAGCGCCTCCTTGATGGAACACTTCATAGGAAAACTGGACTGAAACTCTGTTTATCCATGTACTATATCAAAAGCCTTGTATCCGTTTTCACGTAAGTTTTCTTATCATTAGAGCTAGGCTGAAGAAATATTCCTGTCCTTCTTTTCCGAAGAATAAACTCACTTTGAGTACGCATCATACGCACATTCGTTTTAAATTTTAAAAGATACCGTGACATATTCATACTTTGGTTTTGATAGGTTATTCCTCTCCAGCCACTCTCCGACAAATTCCTTCGTTTTTCCTTATCATTCGTAGTCTTGAGGTCTGCAACCATCGTGCCAACTGCGCGAGAAATGACATGTACTTCGAAGAATCAAAGAGAGGACATTTTTTATTTAACCCATCCCCTACCCCCGGGACAGGACCGCTTCAAACAATTCTCCACTCCGGGCCCCAAGGGCTGGACTTGTCCCGGGAGTTGCCCGGGGGGATGGTAACAAGTCAAATTGAACCATGCATTATAACTTCAAAAATGGAAAATCTTCTCAATCGTAAATCATTGAACCAAGCTGGACAACGGGTCAAGTGAATACAAGTAACATTGACCGTTTTTAAGTCCTTTAGAGGTGCATTTTACTGAAATTCGCGTGCGAGAGATCGAGAAAAAAAATTACCGCATGATCTACAGTGTATTTAACGCTGAATTATTATTTAAAATCGAGGGGCGCGTGAATAGTGGCAGAATATTTTCCTCGCCGCCAAGGGATAAATAATCCTAAAGCCACCATTTACCGAGATTGAAAGAGGTCGCTTTTCCGCTGTTTTCCCCAGCTCTACCAAACCAACTGAGCCAAGGTAACCTTGTCCTTAGGGTTGCTAGGTTGCTGTCTCTTTCTAAGGCAAAAGCCTTTACTTTATATCAGGGGCGGATCTAGGGGGAGGGTGCAGGGGGTGCGCACCCCCCCCCCCTGAGATGACCTGCGGTTTTCTTATACAACTGGTATTCTGCCAAAAAAAAAAAACTATGTGGTTTATTGGTGTTGAAGTAGAGCCAGAGACGAGTGCACCCCCTCCTAAAAAAAATCCTGGATCCGCCCCTGATATAGATGTCATTTTACCAGATATCGCAAACGCCTTCCAAATTTGATTAACTCTAGCTGGTTATGAGGAATTAACCGGGGGATTGGTGGCAATAAGAAATGGAGAAATCGATCGAGGTAAGCATTTATGAAGAACAGGTTTAGTTATAGTGGAGCAGTTCTGCCATGTGACATGTTTTTAACGATTAGTTAATCTTAATTTCTAATATCAAGTATACATGGCATTCATGAAAACCAGGTTTCAGTTAGATTAGTTGTAGTTAGGTTTGCATTTTTGTTTAGGATAGTTAGGTTATCCAGAATTTTTATACTCCTGATAGAATTTACCGTGTTTAAATAATAAAAAAAAACTATTCTATTTTTCTATTCTATTCTATTCTATTCTATTCTATGAGGCCATTTCGATGCATCATCGTGGCAAATTAACTTTCGCATGGTATAAAGTATTTTATTATTCATTCAAAATATTTCCCCAATTCTGATTGGCTAAAAGCACACGTATAATTCACCATAACCAGTTACTGATGACCAAATTTGGAAGAATTTTGTGTTTAACGAGGAAATGATGTCAAAAATGCAGCCTTCTACAGGTTAATGCACCGTTAACCGAGAAGACCTGGGGACGAGATTGAGTTGATTTCTTTGTAAAAACTAAAATGGCAGACACTTCACTCGTTTCAAGAGTAAGAACTACAGCTGGAACTAGGCGAAATAATGGCTAAAAACATAGCAAAAACAGCAAGAAGACAACAAGGAGGGCGACATCTGCTATTTGGAGAATATTTCCGGAGCTGGACAAACCTAAACGTAAACTATCGGAGATAAACTTAACATCGATGCAGGTAAGCTTGTTTTAGCTGTGTTTTTAAGCTAGGAATTATTTGAATGAATAATAAAACAATTACTGAATTCGGCTTTCGTATCACATGAAGAATTATGTGTTTTTAAGCTAGGAATTATTTGAATGAATAATAAAACAATTACTGAATTCGGCTTTCGTATCACATGAAGAATTATGGAGATCTCGGAGGGTGTTATCCGCCTCGGCCTACGGTCTCGACGGATAACACCCTCCTCGATCTCCATAATAAATGTATTTCTATATAAGTATTATATCTATTATATAAGTACATAAGTATCAATAATTTGATAAATGAAATTTGGAATTTTTCGTTTGGCTGCTCACAAGAGTAAAAGGTTTAAGTTGATTTAGGTAATCTGTGTTAACCCTGGTGTAACCCTGTTTTTACAAACGGCTATCATCTATATGTCCATCACCGCTTTCCTTCACCATCATCTCTTTCATAGTGTCACCTTGTTGATCCGATGTTGTAAAGGTCTCCAAAGTTGGTTGGTTACGCGTTTCCGGTAATGTCATGCATAGTAGCGCGGCAATCAAAGCGTTGATACCCATGATGCCAAACGGCAGGAGAGGATGAACACGTTGCTGTTGTAGAGGAAGATAACAAATAACGATTATCGACAATTCGTAATTAATAGGGCCATTTATACGAGGAAAAATAAGACGCGTCTTGTATAAGACGCGTCTTAAATAAGACGCGAACTGTACCATTTATACGAGCATGTCTTATCTAATAAGACGCGTCTTATTTTAGACGAAATGTGCCGTTTATACGGAAAGTTCGCGTCTCATTTAAGACGCGTCTTATGTAAGACGCGTCTTATTTTTCCTCGTATAAACGGCCCTAATATGTCCTTATGACTGAGGGCTTTTCAATTGATTAGATGACTTTTGTTTTGTTATTTAAACCTAATTCGTTGGGATTTCAAACAGGAGTACGGTGTGAATAGGAGGGCTTCCAACAACTGTCAACTTCCAGAGAAGGTACTTGTATAATTCCTTAGGTCACAAGTTATCCGCAATTACTAAAACCAAGAAATAGACCACCAAAAATGTCATTGTTCATGGTATCATCAAGGGCCTTCTTAATAAAATCATATCTTCTGAATGTTACTTAAGTAACAAAACTTTCATTGACCACAGGTAACAAAGTAGAGGATGAACAGCTAGAGCTTTTAAAGTAAAAAAGTTGGCAAATTTTGTTTTCTTGCCTTGAGATGCACCCCGAAATTACAACACATTGTGAGCTATATTAATCCAACATTTGGTGAAAACATGTTGCGCCTTATAACCGAAAAAATACGGTGACAAAAAGTTTCATATGACCTTCATAAAACGTTTTCGCTTTCTGACACAAAATGTAACATCTTTGAAGACTAATGGCCAGTATAGTCGGGTCAGGAGAAACTGTACTACAAAAGTCTTCAAGCACCAAGGGAAAGGCTTTGATCCCCTGGTGGAAATCCGGATTGCGGAATCCAGGAATTTTTTGCACGTGGAATCCGGAATCCTGGGCTTTGGAATCCGGAATCCAGCACTAGGAATCCGGAATCCTTCTAAAGATTGGAATCCAGAATCCAATTTAATAAAGATTCACTCCAGATTGGATTGAGCTACTCGCTCGAAAGAAAAACCATCTATGGAAAGCCTCCCCAGGGTATATGCCTCAACGTGATGACATACAGTGTAATATCGGCATATCTGGTGTCAAAACCACGAAAGGTCAAGCTCACGGTCAGCGAGGGAACCCTTGCTTATGAGCGGCTGGCAGGATCAAAAAATTCGGGGGTCTTCGAGGGAATACAGCGCAGCCTTTTTAAGGTATAAATTGGATTGTTGTGAATAGCTTCAACCTCTGGCTATATATGTTTGATTCTTTGTTGTTCACTCTCTTCGATGAACTTAAAAATCAAAAACGACTTGACCTGGCATAGGACCGGAAAAGGTGCACCTGGGGTGAAACTTTTCTTGAACGTTCCTGGTCCTCCTGGTTCACAATTGAAAATAAACGTCAACTTTCAACATTTTACCAAAAGAGAAAAAAATTCACAGTCTCCTAGTCCCTAATTTGGTCCTAGCAGTTTCGGTGAGAACAGTTTCATGGTTTCGATAATCTATATTTCAGAAATAAGCAAGGTACTGTCAGAACCGTACCAATCAGCTGTCACTAAAGTAATCACGTGCAAGGACGCGTGCCAGGACGCCTGAAATCTCGCCACCTCATCGATGAGACGAGTTTGAGGTTTGTTGTCTGTTGGATTTTTCTTTTCTACGTCATTAAAACAAAAGGTTATGAGAAAGCACAAGCAAAATAAAAGGCTGAGAGAGAAAGGTACGTGTAATACTGTGTTGTGAAATTTTATACCAATTTTTTGCTGACTGATAGATCTAAACGTGCCAAAGGCAAAGCCGTATGATTTTTCGTTTGTGTCGATCTGTGGACTGTAAAGTGGCGGTAAGCAAGTCACAAACATGAACGAAAGATTGATTTTTTCTCAATCATAATTGAATGTGATATGAAGTTTACGTCGTCCGTGGAGAAAATATCGTATAAATGAGCGCTATATGGTCGTAAAACGCTAAAAACGAGCCAACGCGTCAGAAACGCTCAAGTCTCTCTTGATCTCTCAGTCATCTCAGACCCGGTCGAGGAACAGACGGATTTTTCATGTTTTCTTTCTCCAGTTGTGCCCCTGAATAGGCCTCGTTCACATTGAGGTCGCTTTTGGCAATTAGACCGATCTGAGATCAGTTTAGCCCGTTACTTTTTTTTTCTGTTTGAAATGTATCCTAGAGACCCCAGACCATCTCAGAGACCCAGATCTCTTACTGACGAAGCCGAAGATCTGGTCAAATCCGATTACTGCCTGTCAGGAATGTGACAGGCAATGAAAGAGCGCATGCTCGAAATAAATCCTCAATTTTCGACGTGTTAAACAACGAATTTGATAGAGCCGTGAAGTTTTTTCTAACAAAACGTGGTTATACGCACATCTTAAGTATGAACCAACTAATTTTTTGTTGTTTTTGTTCTCTTTAACATCAAATTCAACGTGACAGTTAGTTTGAATTTCATTATCATTGTGCTCGCTAAGACCTCAAAGCAGTACGCGTCAACTTCTACGCGAGAATTTTTTACCCTCTTCAAAAGTCTTTATTGACACGGAGAGAGAGTTTTAAAAAGTCTTAAAAGATATAGATAAAAATGGTTTTCCAAAGTTTATTGAGACGGAAAACTATTCCTTAGTGAACAGAACCAAAGACTTTGCAAAGAATAAATAGCACACGCCACAGCGTATGTTTATTTGGCCAGTTACTAATAAAACGAGATACTAGGCAAAATGAGCCAAAACGACCTAAATGATCCACAACGATCAAAACTAATAGACAAAAGATCCACAACGACCCAAAACAAGTTCCACCCTCCTAGGAACGTCGGTTAAAATTGATTAAATAATAAATATTTCACTGCTTTTTCATACCCGGAGCGAAGGATGATCTGTATGGTCTTTTTATACAAAAAGACTTCAAAACAAAAGGATAACAGGCGAAATCTGGGCGTTGCATGCATTTTTCTATCAGCATGGCTGAAAACAGAGTTCACAAAAGTAGACTAAGTGAAGAATAGAGTCCTGAGGTCAGTCTCACTCTCTACTAATCACTAACCAGCTGAGAGATCCTCCATCCCCAATTACAAGGAGATTTGGATTAGATTAATCGTAGGACAAAACTTTAAATTGCGATGTCGGTGTTTCGCTACGTTTTTTTTGCGGTGATGCGGTGTTTGTTTTTTTTTTCTGCCATGTTGCGGTGTAGATGGTCCCCCAATGTCCCCCTCCGTATACCATAAATCCTTACGGAACTGTAATACATTTCTTCCCGCAATTTTGTAAACCGAAAAAGAGAACAAACTTGTTCTAACAACGTCTTTCAATATAGCAAGATTCGAACACGAAAACGAAGTGCGAAGAAAAGCATTAAAACCGGGAAAAAAATGGAATCCAGCTCTTTTTGGAATCCGGAATCCACTGTGCTGGAATCTGGAATCCAGTACCCGGAATCCGGAATCCACAGCATGGAATCCAGAATCCAAGACTGTCCTGGATTCCCTTACATGGGGCGACCCTGGCATTAAAAAATTTCGTCGCCCTGTTTCTTTCGACCCGACTGATTGCCCAGTGGGTCTCCGAGGACGATTTTGTTCAGGCCTTACATTGCAGCTGATCTTAGCATTTAATGACAGGTCACTTTAAAATAGGATAAACGTACCGAAAAGACAACATAAGGAGAAAGGAAAGAACCAACACGAGCAGCAGAAGTAGAGGTCCCCATACCGATATTTCTGTGGATTGCAGGAACACTGATTAGTTCATAACTAATCTAAATACAGACAATACTTGACGACAGTCAAGCACACGTTCTAACTGTCCTTCGGTGAGAATGTAAACTACTGCAAAATCTTTAAAAACACTAACAAAAGGTTTTCATGCCTCATGCCTGGATGTGAATAGAAAAAAGAAAGAGAAGAAATTTACCTAATGACAGTTGGAAACAGCTCAGCTGAATAAACGTAGAATCCGTCAAAAGCAAACACGATGAAAAACTTGGCGATGCACAATGAAAATATTATTTTCCCAACTAATATTCCTAAAAAAGAAAACATTAAAATGAAACAAAGATTTCAGAAAAGCAGTTGATATTATTTACATAACGAAACGTCTGAATTGCGTTCTTCTTTAGATCGCCACATTACCCTAGAGTAAAATGGGAAACTAATTTTTAAAAGGGGCTAATCTATAAAACATGATTGGGATGCAGACGTTGATTTCTTGGAAACCCTCACCCCGCCCTCGCGTTCTAAAAGAGACACACTTGTTTATTTTATCTCAAGAATACTGTATACACTTTATATACTGCTTCTATTTTTGTCGTCAATTTCTTTGAATTGATGTACGTTTATGTAAAACATGTTTCCTTAACGCAAATGATGTTTTGTTTTTTTTAAATAAAAAAGCTACATTTGATATATTAAAAGTCCCTGTTTTCAATGAGGAAAAGCAGAAATCTTAAACGACCTAAAACATGAATAAATGCCTTACATTAACGATATTTTGCTGATCACTTCTTGAGAAACGACAATGGGTGGGAGGCACATGTTAAAACGCAAATATGTTATCCAAAACCGTTATCACACTCGAGTTATACAATAGCTTGTTAAAAATTGTTATACCTGTGTTGTTTCCATCATCAAATAATGTAAGCAATACCGAACCAAAGGCACCAAAAGCAGAGAAAAACAGACCGCAGCAGATGGTTTTCTTACGACCAAATCTACAAGAATGGTAAAAAAAAGTCACGTAGTAAGATGAGCGAGGGGCACCCAACGAGAATATAGTTCAAAACCACTTAAACATAGTGTTGTTAAACGTATTTACGGTAGATATAGGCATATTTTTATCCCCTAAAAAGTTTTCATCTGTTCGGATTTCCTATCTGAAAGTCTAGTGGTCTGAAAATTATAGGGATCAAAACTGACCTTTTCGAAAATTTCAGCCAGCAAAAAGGCTCCCGAAAATTCTAGGTGACCTTTTTAGGGTAAAAAATCCATTAAAAATGGGCAATTATACCATTTTTTAGATGTTCGAAAATCCTAGGAGAGGCAGCCAAGCAAGAAATTTTACAACAAATGTTCCGAAAATTCTAGATCTCAAATCGTCTTCAGAACAGATATTTTCCGAAAATTGATGTTGGGTGCCTCTGATGAGTGAGGGTGTAATCGAGAAGAGAGTAAAGAAATTAAAAAGAATGGGGGAGTGTTTATAACAAATGCATCAATGACTAAGGCATCGGAGAGCAGGAGAGCATTGACTAAAGGAGAAACTGACTAGTGTGTGGTGCGGAAGCATAAACTTAAAACAAGAAACGTTGCATACCGGTTACAGCCCCATGCCAATGCGGGGTAAGCCACTAGTGCAATGGTGCTTGTTATAAAGAAGTTGAGATACATGTTGCCTCCTACTGTGGGGGAGCTGAAGGACACTCCGTAATACACCATGCCATTGACGAACCTGAATTGAAAAAAAAAATTGTTATATCATTGAAACTTCGGTATAAGTAAATGCTGAAAGCTTTGATTACCGCAAATAATTTACAGCACTGTAAACACCTAGAAACAAACTCACGACCTTGCTAACTTATACTTAACCGCATAGACAAGCAATCGCAGAACCAAATGTCAATTATTTCTTTTCTCCTCAGTTATATTCTTTTGTCTCCACCTCTTTATGTCTCTGTCAAACCGGTTAAACCACCTAAGCATAGGATACGGCCTTATGTAAATACGATTTTCCCGCATTTTATCCATAATCCATAAGATGAAGTCAAATTAATGAGATTCCCCAGTAAAAACAAACAAACAAACAGACAAAACCAAGTAACCGTTGCGCCCTAAACTGCTCAAAACAACATGCAAACTTCGTGTTTTTACTTAGGAATGCCCCGCTCTTTGTGCATGTTGCCGGCTATTTCGCACTTGTTGCTGTAAAACTCGCCCGAACAGTAAAAGAGAGAAAAGATTCTTTTTTAAACTGATTCTTTCGGAAAGAAAAAGCTCTTTCATTTAATGCTCAGTTTAAGACAAGGGTCACTCTTGCGTTTTGTTTTGAGTACTTAGCCTGAATTTATCAATGCAGAAGCATGTGCAGGAATTAAAATAAATTGAAAATTTGATAACTCACCAGCAAAACCAAGAAACAAGGGTCTTGTGCGCTATTGATTTAGACTTGAACAAATCTCTCAAGTCTCCAAGTCGCTGTTTTTCACAGTCCTGCAGTTTTTCATGCGG